CTGAGAAATGAAACAAATTATTAGATATATATTTGAAATGATATATATATATATATATATATATATATATATATATATATATATATATATAATGTCCTGAAGATTGCGTTCAAGCATAAAACAGATTATCGCTGCTTGGCATTGACATCAGTGTCCACTTTCATATAGAAAAATTTACCTTAGCAGACGCGTTTCGTCCTCTGATGGACTTTATGAAACGCGTCGGCTTGATAAATTTTCCATCTGCTTTTATTCATGTCTTCCTTTTACAGATATAATTTTAGTTATATTTGAGTAGAAATTTTATACACATACACACACAAATATATATATATATATATATATATATATATATATATATATATATATATATATTTTTAATCACTCCCACTGTCTTTTTACTTGCTTTTTTTGTTGCGTACTTCCCCACTAATTTTACTTTTATCTGATTCCATTCCCTTATTGTATGTTTTGGTTTCTTACTGAAAAAATAACTTTCCATTCAATTCATTCTTGATACATTTTATTCATTTTCCTACTCGTCCGTTTTCTTTTTCATTTCTTGTTTCTTTTTTTAATTTCCACCTTTTTATTTATTTAGTTTTTCTTTGAAAAAAACATTCATTAATTTCTTTTAATCTTTCTTTGCGTTTTTACTTAGTCTTCTTTTCATTTTTTTATTTTATTTTATTTCCACCCGCCTCTTCTTATTCTTCTTTAACTCTTCTACTTGATTCCAACATTCTAACATCTACTTCCCGTTGCCTGATATCATTGAAAATTTTACATTTCCGGTGCAAATGATTAATGAAGAAAACAACCGGCAGATCAGTGTTCATATAACGGGTTGAAAAAAAAGAAAAATAAAAGTACACAAACGCACGTTTTACTCACAAACTCTTATACGCAAGCTCACGTTTGCGTGTGCGTGTGCGAAATGAGGCTCAAGAATGCTCTTTCACACACAGCAACTATGCGTTGGTATAGTATAATTCGTTAGTGTACACTCTCTCACGCACACAAATACGCACACATTGATACAATCATGGAAAATAAGAGAAGTGGAATCAGCGCAAATAAGCGAGAGCTAACAAACAAGTAGAAAAACTAAATACCTTTGTAATTCTTTTTGGTCCAACTTTGGCGTTCGCCTGGCAATCAAATTGGCCGGCTCTCTGACATGTGCCGCCATTAAGGTCGGTAGTGCTTCATTTGTGAATCTATGATGAGCTTCTCCGTAGAGAAAGAAAAAAAAAACGAATTAAAGAAAAACGACTGCATGTAAGAAACGATAAGGAAGGAACTAACAATGGGAAAATAGAGAAAAATAGATAGATAGATAGATAGATAGATAGATAGATAGATAGATAGATAGATAGATCTACGTGTGACGAAAAGAAGGTTCAGAAGGAGGTAAAATAAGAATGGATCAAAGGAAAAGAAAAATGACGAAGTTACGAAAAAAAACAGGAAAATATTTAACGGACTAAATTAATAAAAATCATGGAAAAAAATAAACAGACGATAAGAAAAAAAATGGAAGAAACAGTTAGAATGTAAGGACTACAAAAATGTAACAATTAAATGAACTACAGACTTTTAGGGGGAAGGGTGCCTTAATATTAAGAAATAAAAGAAAATATTTGTAAAGAAAAGTCAGCGAATATAAAACTGAACGAAAAAATAGTTGAGACGACTGAAAGAGTAAATTAATTCTTAAATAAAAGCAGGTGTTTTGTTAGAAGGAAGGAAGGAAAGAAGGACAAATAGAGAGAGAGTGAGAGAGAGAGAGAGAGAGAAGAAATCAAACAAACCAGAAAGAAAGAAAGATAGAAAGTTAGAAAGAAAAAAAAATGGAAAAAGGAAGACGATAAGAAACAGTAAAATATATTAGAAATAAGCTAAAAGAACCTAGATAACGTTAAAAAGAGTTTTAGAATAAAGAAAGTAAAAATAAAGAAACAGGGAAAGCAAGCAATCAAGAAAGAAAGAAAGAAAGAAAAAAAAGAAAGAAAGGATAAAGAAAGCCGATGAGAAACAGTAAACTATATTAAAAGATACTAAAAGAAGCTTGAGAAAGAAAGAAAGAGTAATATAACAAAGAAAGAAAAAAGAAAGATAGACAGAACACAAGAAAGAAAGGATAAAGAAAGACTATAAGAAACCGTAAACTATATTAAAAAACATTGAAATAACAGTTAGAAAGGCTACTAGAACAAAGAAAGAAGAAATAAAGAATGATACAAAGCAAACCAGCAAGAAAGAAAGAAATGAGGAAAGAAAGCAAGCAAGACGTAAATACATAAATAAAGAATACTATGAAAAAAATAGTAAAATATATGAAAAAGAAAGTAAAATAGAGAAAGATAGAAAGAGTTCTCGAACAAGAAAGCAAGAATAAAAACCAAATAAAAACAACTGGAGCCAAACACAAAACTGAATCGATTTCTTGGCCGTCGGGTCTGTGGCAGTTCGATTGCAAGCAAACAGGAAAGAACATAACTCAATTACGTTCAGTGAAAAACTTTCACATTCTTAAGTAAGATCTATGTTAACATAAGTTGTAAGAATGGGGCTCGGCCTTGCGGCGGATTGTACCTGTAAATTACGGTCAGAGAAATGATTCCCTTCGGCATATTGTCCGTGACGCAAGATTAGTTGCCACTGATAACGATAGCACCTTGATTGTCAGTCTGTGAACTCAGTGGGTTATCAGCAGAGCAAGAGATCGACAGTTTCACTTCAAGGAACTAAATATGAACCGGGCGATTTGCTCGTTGACATTTTTTTTTCATTCTCTCATTTCGTTGTTCGCCAACAAGCTGACCTTAGCACCGGACGGTCTCCGGTAGACGTGCGCATTCCTTTTCTAGATAAAAAAAAAAAAAAAAAAAAATAACAGCGACTCATAAGTAGTTCTTTACATGTCACCAATTAATAACTCTTATGCGCATGCGTAGCGTTGGGTTCCTCTAACTACTTTATCATTATACGAAGAGCTTCTTTGACGGCTCATCGTCAGGAAAACAACATTTTCTCGCTACAAAAATAAAACAACTCAGCATTTGTTTGGTAGGCTAATATCAAAACAACTGAAATCACATGTATTTATACATAAATTTACTGTTGGTATCTTTCTGAATGCGCGGCTAGTTTAACGATTAGCGACTCGGAGAAAGAAATCAGGTAACCAATTTCGTAAGGGGTTAACTATGGCATAAAAACCCTTGACAGAGGCATGAATCTATCTCTTCTCCCATCAGCTATCGGTTAAATAACAAGACTGACTGGTCTGTATAGCGTTGGGCCTGTAACCATTCTAGAAGAAAAAAAAATGATTTAAAAACTATCCTGAAGCGTGATCGGATCCGTGAGGGTTTTCTTAGGTAGCCATCATATAGCAGACACTACTCCAGCTATTATCTATAGACTCTTGAAAAAATCCAAATAAGGATCTGTCATGTTATCAGTCCTGACCTGGCATCCGATTCCTTGTTTATGTGCCGTGCTCCCCGCCCCCAGGATGTAGGTGATTATAGTTTCCCATAACTCCCTGTCCCTTTTAGCTCTTAATAAACTGTCTTTCTGTTATTTCTCCTAAGCCCTGATCCAACATCCATTTACACACTAAGTATGCTATGTGTTGTTTTTTCTTTATACTTCTTGCCTTCAACCTGTCCCATGAGTATCCGATTTTCCAAGAACTGCTTCCTCATTATATGCCACAGAAATAACAACTGTCTCTTCATGTACTTTTCTCTTGTTTCTATCGATTTTTTAAAAATATATCTTAGTATTCTGCTTAGCTTTTAAAATGCTTCCTTGGCTGTCCCAGTACGCATTCGGATTTCAGTGTCACTCTTTCCATCCGCTGTTAAAACACATCCCAGATATCTAAATTTCCGCACTTTTTTGATTTTGTATCTCCGACCACCTACAACCTTCATAAATTTAAATGCAATGTCAAACACCATATTCTGTCTTTTTGAATGCTTTTCTTTTACAGTTCTTTCTCTTCACCGAAGTCTTCCCATCGCAATAACCCGTTTGTGTTATGGTGGCATTATCGCCTTTCTTGGAGTGAAATGTCTTTAAAAAAAAAGGATTTCTCTCAGTAGACAGGCAAATAGCCATTTCTATTTGATCTCAAAGATATTTTATCTGGCAATGATGGAAAACGGTGAATTTACTAAAACCCTTCTGTTCAGTGAACTTCTCTGGACAACGTGAAGAGAAGGGAGTTACCACAAAAGAGATACAGGGAGTTCTTTATAATGAGCTGTTATAGACAAGCGTATGGTTGCAAGAAAGAAATACGACAACAGCAGAAAGAGATTTACGTGATTTATTTCAATAGGAACGTGTGGTTTTGGGACAGCTACCTTGTGGTATAGTTCATAATCCGGTTTCCGGTCTGGGTTGATCTCTCATAATAGTTCTCACTGGTTGGCGTGGCGCTCCTCCTGCTGACTGCAGCTGACTGACCGTGACAGGTCTCTTCCCTGGCCTCCTGTTGACTGCTCGTACTTCCCTGTGTGACCCCTTTTATGGCGTTTTTATGACACTTTAATTAGGAGGGAAGCATATTAAAAAAATAGAAACACTTTAAAATATTATTTTATTTTTCGACCGGAACTCGTGCGTCGGGCCTATGCGTAAACGACGATAATGGTCATTTTGTGACGGGGCCTTGTTTCGTTCGCATCCGACTCTCGCTCTTGAGTATGTTAGTTTATTTGCCTGCAAATCAGCCGAGATATGTCTTATTTTATTTTATAACAGGCCCTCATTTCGTGTGAAAACGACTACAGCGAATAGGCAATAGTGGCTGAAAACAGAGAAGCATATGATAAGAAGTCCAACCAGCCTCCTTTTAGAGAGCAAACCGAAGACTGAAGAGCAAAAGAAAAACTGTTAAATATGACCTCTCCTCGCGTGGCAAACACAGTGGAAGAATATCGGCGGTTCTGCAATAGAACTTGGGAAGCTCTTCTTAAAAATCTCCGTTCGTAAAGCCAATCCCTGAAGATGATACATGCACATAATTATATCTGTCTGAGTGGAACGTTCTCCTTACAAATCGAATACGGATGAAAATTAAGTGATTCCGCCCCGTTGATATAGCATGGAGAATCCTTTGTCTAAATAATTGAACTGGTCGAACTAAAGAGTGGAACATTTGCCATGAAAATAACGACAGAGAAGCCATAGGCTTGCAACGTTATATCTGTGGAAAACAGACTGTAGAGTGGAAAATAAGACGTCCCACTATAAGACCGCGAAACGATTACGAACTCTATCAAGATTAGAAAGTGGGAATTGGGCACCTCCAGCCCAGACATGACAGCAATACTCCATTTTAATCTAATTTCACTCTTGGGAAGATAAATCATGGCAGAAGGAACACCGTACTTTCTGGGGCGGCACAAGAAGCCGAATACTTTTCCAGCATTTTTAACGATGGATCATATATATTATTTCAAGCTGGGGTTTGGGGGTGGGCTTGAAGTCAGATATACGTTCAAAATGGTTGTACTATTTTTTTAAAAAAAGAATTAAAATTCACCCAAGGCAGTAAATCCACTAAAACTCAAATGGTTACTGAGTGTGAAAGAATTAGAAAACAGAAACATTGTTAAGGAGCGAGAACGATAGAAGAGTTATCAGGGAGACTGTAAGATTGCATTTAAATCAAAGTTCACTGGAAAGCATGGAACTGGATGTGTGTTCCACAAGCGAGATGTGCGAGAGAAGAATCTGTTAGCATAGAACTTACGGTTACATCTAACCAATTCAATTATATATTGATGATACCTTGCTGCTAATCTGCTATGCTTAAATTTGTCTTGGTGTCATAGTGAAGAACACACCCGAAAAGTTACCAGGAAACAAATTTATGGCGATGGGAAAGTGACTGGATCCGAAACAACGGGTCAGACTCACTAGCATTGCAGATTTTTCTTTGGATTTTATCATATTCTCTAAATATATAGCAGGAGTACCGGACCGTATGCGACAGCAATATCCAAAGTATGGAGGAATGATAGATATGTAAAACAGATTCTGGAGAGAAAAATATTTAGCACGACACTTGTAAAATAATAAAAATAATAAAGTTACATTTGCAGTTAAATTTTCGAATCAATGAAAATTCTCTAATTATTAACGTATTCAATAAATATTTTTATTGCTTTCCTTTAGTTTTCAGGAAATGAATTAATGACAATTTTATTTGAATGAGTTAGATTTTTGTACTAATTATGAATTAACCTGATCGACATTGGTGTTTTGATTTTTATGTTTCGATCGTTCTGCTTTCCGGTTATCCTAAGGTGTATACAACATCAGTTATTTTTCAGTCGTTTCACTTTCTTAATGGTTAAACATCAAAGACCATTTTTTTCAATATCTCTACCCAATTCTTCCTTTCTGATTCCATTGATTCTTATGAATTGATTGAAGAAGGTTCTTGATAGCTTCCCTCCTAACGTTTAGAAAATGGGTTCAGCAGATACACAAACACAGAAAGTGGTGTAAGACAAGGATGTGTCTTCTCGCCGGACTTATTCAACTTATACAGCGAGACAATTCAGAGAGAATTAGAAGTCCTACCAAGATTCATTATTCGCGTAGTCTTTATAACATAAGATCTGCAGATGACACAGTGTTGATAGGAGACACAGAAAGGAAACTACAAAATCTCCCAGAGGACGACACTCAGACCCGAGGAAGGATTGAGATTGCTAAAGAGTCATTCCAAAAGCTAAGCAGAGTATTAAGAGACAGAATAACTTGGTTAGAAATATAGAAAAGAGTACTGATTTGTTACGCGATAACTATCCTTCTATATGTCAGTGAATACTAGACAATCTCCTTATATATGAAGAAGAGACTTGAAACAACAGAAATGCGGTTCTACAATTCTAAGACGGTATGCATCACACCACAAAGAACATCAATAATTAGGTAAAAAATAAAACCCACACCAATTCAAACGCCTGGATTTATCAAATAAATTGTTTACAATGCAAAAATGTTTATATAGGTGAGATATCATGTTATCTAAAAATCCCACATCAACGAACAGAAGAGACTTGTGTTTGGACAAACGATCCAAGCCTCTCGTTTTTCATAAAAAAGATGGTTGACAGAACTTTTATTTTGCTACTGCGACTAATTCTTAAAAAAGAACAATTCTTTAAGGAGAAAATACATTGAAAACTTAATAATAACATTATTACCAATCATAAACACATGGCTAAAATATTACATTACATCTCCATTTTTCTTTGATCCATTCTTAAAGAATCAGATTATATCTATAATATAAGGAATACATTCTTAAAGAGGCCGACCATAAAACAGAACCCTGTGAGCCCTACGGATGCTGGCTGGCTGCACAAATATGAAGATGAAACTCCCACTACACAGACACACACACAGTTACAAATACACATTACCATCCGTTGCCCACTTAGACTTATAAGAATCTTCACAAAC